CAGGGACAGTGGGGACCCTGGGGACAGCAGGGACCCCCTGGGGACAGCAGGGACCCGTGGGGACAGCGGGGACCCTGGGGACAGCAGGGACCGTCAGGGACAGCGGGGACCCTGGGGACAGCAGGGACCCCCTGGGGACAGCGGGGACCCGTGGGGACAGCGGGGACCCTGGGGACAGCAGGGACCCCCTGGGGACAGCAGGGACCCTGGGGACAGCGGGGACCCTGGGGACAGCGGGGACCCCCTGGGGACAGCGGGGACCCTGGGGACAGCAGGGACCCCCTGGGGACAGCGGGGACCATCAGGGACAGCGGGGACCATCAGGGACAGCGGGGACCCCCTGGGGACAGCGGGGACCATCAGGGACAGCGGGGACCCCGTGGGGACAGCAGGGACTGTCAGGGACCTGTGGGGACAGCGGGGACCCCGTGGGGACAGCAGGGACTGTCAGGGACCTGTGGGGACAAGTCAGGGACCCCCTGGGGACAGCAGGGACCGTCAGGGACAGCGGGGACCCCCTGGGGACAGCAGGGACCCCCTGGGGACAGTCAGGGACCTGTGGGGACAGTCAGGGACCCCCTGGGGACAGCAGGGACCGTCAGGGACAGCGGGGACCCCCTGGGGACAGCAGGGACCCCCTGGGGACAGTCAGGGACCTGTGGGGACAGTCAGGGACCCCCTGGGGACAGCAGGGACCGTCAGGGACAGCGGGGACCCCCTGGGGACAGCAGGGACCCCCTGGGGACAGTCAGGGACCTGTGGGGACAGTCAGGGACCCCCTGGGGACAGCAGGGACCGTCAGGGACAGCGGGGACCCCCTGGGGACAGCAGGGACCCCCTGGGGACAGTCAGGGACCTGTGGGGACAGTCAGGGACCCCCTGGGGACAGCAGGGACCGTCAGGGACAGCGGGGACCCTGGGGACAGCAGGGACCCCCTGGGGACAGCAGGGACCGTCAGGGACAGCGGGGACCCTGGGGACAGCGGGGACCGTCAGGGACAGCGGGGACCCCCTGGGGACAGCGGGGACCCTGGGGACAGCAGGGACCCCCTGGGGACAGCGGGGACCGTCAGGGACAGCGGGGACCGTCAGGGACAGCGGGGACCCCCTGGGGACAGCGGGGACCCTGGGGACAGCAGGGACCCCCTGGGGACAGTCAGGGACCTGTGGGGACAGTCAGGGACCCCCTGGGGACAGCAGGGACTGTCAGGGACCTGTGGGGACAGCGGGGACCCCCTGGGGATAGTGAGGCACCCATGGGGACAGCAGGGCGCAGCAGGGACCCAGTGAGACACCCGTGGGGACAGCAGGGACAGTGAGACACCCGTGGGGACAGCAGGGACAGTGAGACACCCGTGGGGACAGCAGGGACAGTGAGGCATCTGTGGGGACAGTCAGGGACCTGTGGGGACAGTCAGGGACCCCCTGGGGACAGCAGGGACCGTCAGGGACAGCGGGGACCCCCTGGGGACAGCAGGGACCCCCTGGGGACAGCAGGGACTGTCAGGGACCTGTGGGGACAGCAGGGACCCCGTGGGGACAGCGAGGCACCCATGGGGACAGCAGGGCACCCATGGGGCACCCATGGGGACAGCAGGGACCCTGTGAGACACCCATGGGGACAGCAGGGACAGTGAGACACCCGTGGGGACAGCAGGGACAGTGAGGCATCTGTGGGGACAGCCGGGACCCCATGAGGATGGCAGGAACCCTGTGAGGCTCCCGTGGGGACAGCAGGAACCTCTGGGGAGGGCAAGGACCCTGTGAAGTCCCCATGAGGTCAGCAGGGACCCCATGAGGCACCCACTGGGACAGCAGGGACAGTGAGGCAGCCATGGGGACAGCAGGGACCCTGCTGTGAGACACTCGTGGGGACAGCAGGGCAGCATTAACAGCTGCATGGGACAGGAACCCAGCATGTGTGAGTGTGCCAGGGGATCTGAGAGGGGAGAGCAACCTCTGAGAGACCCCAGAGCCCCACAGGACAGGGTGAGACCACCCATGGTCATCCTGCCCTGTTCTCTTTCCCAGAAAGAGACCCCTGGATCTCTTTCCCAGGCTGGTATCCCTTCCTCACACCCATCTCTACTGTCCACAGCTCCAGGAACAGCTTTTGCACCTCCTCTCTTTAAGCTGCCCAGGAAGGAGGGAAGCAGCACCAAGGAAGGTGAAATGAAGCCCTGGAGATCACCAGAGTCCCTGAGCAATGTGAGAAATGGATTTATAGAAAATCCTCAAAGGCTGAGAGAAGGTTCAAAAGATGGCCTTGCAAATAGGACTAGATAGTTTGGAGAAACAGAACTATGAAAGATGCATTGTAGTGGGACCCACGAGGGGTAATTTAAAATTATTTGCTTTGAAGTATTTACAGCATGGTGTGGCTAAAGCTGATAAGCCAAAAAATTATTATAATATATTGTAATTAAGACGTAATTCATTTCTGATTGTGATGGCATGAATTATAACATCTGTATTGTCTCATTCTTCACATGAAGCTGAGAACAGAATAGAAGTTTTTAAAACACCTCTCAGCTGCCCCATCTCTGGGTCAGAAAAAGGCATAATCCAGCAGTGGATGCCCAGAGAGCAGCTCAAGAGATGCCTCAGGTTTACTGCCAAGTGACATCTGCACTGGGACACAAGGGTGGGGAAGGGTCTGGGGGTATTTGGTCTGTTCAGCTGGGACTGAGGGGAGATCTCAGGGGGCTGCAGCTTCCCCAGGAGGGACAGCTCTGGTCTCTGCTCTGTGTGACAGTGACAGCACCCCAGGGAACATCTGGAGCTGTGTCAGCAAGGTTTAAGGTGGATATCAAGAAAAGGTTCTTCCCCAGAGGGTGCTGGCACTGCCCAGGCTCCCCAGGGAATGGGCACAGTCCCAGGGCTGCCAGAGCTCCAGGAGAGGTTGGACAATGCTCCCACAGGAATGCCCAGGCTGGGGTTGTTGGGAGTCCTGGGGAAGGACATCAGGACTTGCTGATGCCTGTGGATCCCTCCCAGCTCAGGAGATTGGTGACACACATCCCTCTGTCCATGGAGAACCAGCCAGGAGCAAACCCTGCCTTCCCAAAGGACACCAACAGGGCCCTGGCACCTTCTCAACAGAGCCCTGCAGACCCCCAGCCCTGCCCCTCTGGGGGACCATGAGGGGCTGGAGCCAAGGGGGGCCAAAGGACACCAACAGAGCCCTGGCACCTTCTCAACAGAGTCCTGCAGACCCCCAGCCCTGCCCCTCTGGGGGAACATGAGGGGCTGGAGCCAAGGGGGTCCAAAGGACACCAACAGGGCCCTGGCCCCTTCTCAACAGAGTGCTGCAGACCCCCAGCCCTGCCCCTCGGGAGGGGCTGGAGCCAAGGAGATCCCGAGGTGAGATGGCACAGGGGGTGCAGCCCCTTCAGAGCCTGCCAGGCCGCGCTCCACAGCTCCCCAATGTTCCCCACAGGGACTGTGGTTCCAAGCACAAATCATGGAATCATGGAATGTTAACTGGGAGGGACCTTCAAGCTGACTCAGCCCCACCCCCTGCCATGTGCAGGGCCACCTTCCACTAGCCCCGGCTGCCCCAAGACCCGTCCAACCTGGCTTTAAACACCTCGGGCCCGGGGCAGCCGCAGCTTCTCCGGGCAGTCTGTGCCAGGGCCGCGAGAGAAGCCGGAGCTCCTGCTGTCCCGGCTGTCCCCAGGGCAATTTCCCCCATCCAAAATGCCCCCGGCTGCGTCCCCGTCCCCGCCCAGCGCTGACATCACCGCCAGGGCTCGGACAGGCCGAACCGGGCCCGGCTGCGGGGTGACCCGGGGCACGGGCCCGGTGCGGCCGGCGCGGGGGGCTTTGCCCGGGGCTCCCCCCGAGCCCCGCGGTTTCCAGCCGCGGACTGAAGGGAGCGCGAAGGCGGCGCTGGCGGCCCGCCAAGCCCCGGCTCCGTGGAACGAGCACTGGGGGTGCGTTCCGCAGCGGGGCTGGAACCGGTTTAGGGACGGCGATGGCGGCTGCGCCGGGCGGGGCCTCCGCCGTGCGGGGCCGGAAGCACCGGACACCGGGAGAGATGGGCGGAGGGCGGGGCGGCCTCGGCGGGGAGGCCCCGAGCCGGTCCCTCCGGGCCATCCGGCCTCGCCGCCGCCGCCGGGACACTCAGGCCGCCGATCCCCACCGCGGCCCCGCCGGGAACCACAAACCGGGCCCGCCCCGCGCCGCCCTCACCGGCCGCGGCCTACCCACCCCGCCCCGGCCCGCGCCGCCCCGCACCGCGCCGCGCCGCCACGCACCGTCCTCGCAGCCAGCCCGGTGCGCTTGTCCCACAGGAAATCCGTGATGGCGGCCGTGGGCCCCGGGCCCCGCTCCAGCTCCTGCCGCCGCCGCCGATCCGGGTCCTGCCAGCCCGCGGGGCCGCGCACGCACGTACGCGCTCACGTACGCACGCACGTAAGCGCGCGGAGCTGCGTCACACCAGGTGGGGCCGGTGGGCGGTGTTAGACTCGAGGGGCGGGACCGGTCCCGCGCGGCGCTCTTTAAGCCACGCCCCCTTCTCCAACCCAGCGGCGCGGGCTGGGCGAGGCCGAGGGGCGGAGCCTGGGCAGATCGCCCCGCCCACCTCCTCCCCGAAGCCACACCTCGCCCTCCTGAAGGCGGAGGGACTGTGCCGAGGGGCGGGGTCAAAATATGGGCGGAGCCTATGCTGATACCCCCGCCCATCGCCTCCAGGAGCCCCGCCCCGTTCCCGCCCACCGTCTTCCAAGCCACGCCCCTCCTCGCTCCGCTGCCTGCCATGGGGCGGGGCTAGACATAAAGGGCGGAGTCCCAATCGAGAAGCCCTGCCCTATCTCCCTGAAGCCCCGCCCCTCTCCGGTTCCTCCGGCGGTACCGGGGCCGGAGCGGGGGGCGCGTTCTCCTCCCCGAGGCCCCGCCCGCCAGCCCCGCCC